GCCATTTTCGTGTTCGTGTTTTCTTGTTTCGTGTCCGTGTTTGCCATTTTCGTTTTTACATCTGCCATTTCCGCTCTAACATTTGCCATGTTCGTGTTCGTGTTTGCCAATTTCGTTTTCGTATCCGCCTGATTCGTGCTGATGTTCGCTATTTTCGTGTTGATGTTCGCCATTTCCGTTTTCATTCCTACCATCATCGTGCTGATTTCTCCACAGTTGTGACACTTCAACTTTCTAAATTGACACAGTTCACTCTCGTGATATGTACGATCTCTTTTACTGATTGTCTCACCACAACCTTGATTTCCACAAACGACTGGAGTAAACCCGCATTCGGCGATATGTCGCTTTAAATTCTGCAGCTGTACGAGTTCTCGACATCCTCTGTCGTAATGATCGCAACGTATACTTAGTTCGTTTAAGTAATTCTTCACAATTCTTGGAACGTCTTGCAATGTTTCGACACTCAGCTCGTCAGCACACGTTGGGCATGTATGGGAATTCCTACGAAGATGTTCCGCGATGCAGCCGTGGCAAAAATAATGCTCGTTTCTGCGGCACATCACGGGGTCTTTCAATACGTTATAGCAAATCAAACAGTGGAAATTTTGGTTCACTATCGACTCGAATCTTTCGTCATCGTACCCGAGTGGGTATTTTAATGCCATATTTACTTGCTGTTTTCCTAAATTAATAATAAAGCAAATATTAGGAACTTAATAGCACTGATCGCTATGCTGTACAAAGCTTGTCCAAATAGACGGCTTTATATACCTTTATTTAATTCCTGTAAAATATTTAGTAAACGTTCTTCTTAAACGCTGAAGTAAATGAAAAGTCAGTAAACGACAGCCAATACACTTGAGTGTATGACTGTATGTATGATCAAAGTATTCAAAGTATTCAGTCTACAATAACAAATTGTTTTGCAAAAACACAGCACAAGGTTTGCATTTTTTTAACAATTAAGAAATCGACATGATGTCTAGGTAGGTAGGTAGGTAGGTAGGTAGGTAATACTTTATTTAAAATTAACAGAAAGAAGAACACGCTAGCCCCATCAACTCTAGGCTGGTTTCCATGGGGGGCGTGTTTAGATATTAAAAATCATTAAAAGGAAAACTTAAACTAAATATTAGTACACACATACTGTACATGTTACTATATACAAATAATTAGGAAGCATGTCGCTGTCCAACAATTGATTTAAACGAATGAGGCGACTCGGCCAATTTTGCTTCGTTTGGGAGTTGATTCCAGAGCATAGCGCCGCTATATTTAAAACTTTTTTTAAGAAATTCTCGTTTCGGTTTAGGAATTGTTAGATCAGTTGCTGTGTTTCGAAGATGATAATTAGTTTGATCTATTTTTCTTCTCACGAATGACCCCCGGAGACCTGGCGCAGTGTGGTCGTTAAGTATTTTATACATTAATACTGACTTGGCACCAGACCGCCTATTTTCAAGTGTATCCCAAGAAAGCATGTTGAGAAGATCAGCTGAGCGAGTATCATAATTAGCACCCGTTAGGACTCTTGCTGCACGAGACTGAAATCTTTGCAACTTGTCTCTTAGCAACTTACCACAAGTGTCCCAAAGGGGGAACAATAATCAAAGTAGGGCTGCACAAGACTTTTATAAATCGATTCTAAGGTATGCATTGGAACAAAGGGCTTTATACGTTTCATAGCGCCAATAGCAGCGCTCGCCTTCTTGCATATCATTTCAATGTGACTATCCCAATTAAGGGTTTTATCTAGTTTTACTCCTAGGCACATTTGTGTAGCAATTCGTGATATGGGTTTTGCATTAGCCACAACGGGTTCCTCACACATTATATTGTTAAGATTATACGGGGAGCCAATAAACATCATTTTACATTTTGATGGATGCATCTGCAGCCTATTTTCTTTAAGCCAGTTACAGACATGGGCAAGATCTGAATTTAAATTTACAACAAGTTCATTTGCATCGTAGGAAGATGAAAAGATTTGAGTATCATCCGCGTACAGGCATGGATTAGTTGATTTCAAACAATCGGGCAAATCATTAATATATAATAGGAACAGCAGTGGTCCCAGTATAGATCCCTGGGGCACTCCACAGGTGATAATTTTATTACTAGATAATTCTCCATTAACATTACAATTGCTGTTCTCTATTTGTTAAATATGACTCAAACCATTTTAATTCTACGCCAAAAATTCCAAATTGCTCATTCATTTTATTTAACAAAATGCGATGGTTTATAGAGTCAAATGCCTTTTTGATATCTATGAACACAACCCCATTTAACTTTCCATTGTCCATATTTTCTAGCCACTCATCACACATTTGGATGAGGGCAGTTACAGTTGAATGCTTTGGACGAAATCCAGATTGAAACTTTGACAGAAGAGAGCTTTCAGACAAGTATCTATATACTTGACGGAAAACTTCCTTCTCAAAGGCTTTACTCACCACCGGTAAAATTGAAATAGGCCGATAGTTCTCACATTGTCTTTTATCCCCGGATTTAAATATTGGCGTAACACGAGCACGCTTCCATTCATCTATATATACGCCTGTTGCAAGCGACAGATTGAAGATGAATGTCAACGATGGTGCAATTATGTTTGCAGATAATTTTAGAATTTTAGCAGGAATTTTATCAAGACCTGTTGCTTTACATGCTTTTAGGCCTCTTAGGGTCGAGGCAACACTATCAACGGATATTGGAGATACTTTAAAAAAAGTATCTAAGGATTGATTAATATTATAGTTTATGGGCTGATTATCAACATTACTACAGGACTCGTCTACATATTCTGCTGCTAGCCTCGACCCAATGGTAGTTTTGGATTGGTGTAGTGTAAAGGAATTTCTTTATTAAATATATATTTTCACTTCAAAATCAGTCGCGCTGTTTAGCGTTACTTGCTCGCTTAATCATTTTCTGTGCTATGAATATAAGTTACTGGAAATATCAAATAGCAAGTCAGTGATATATAAAATAAAAAAACAGCAGTTGGACGACCTTACTTTGTGAAAATAGAGCTATCTGGAAAGTTCTGGAAGGAATTTTGAAAGTCTATCACACTGTAGGGTGCCGTACGTGCTGGCTCAATGATTCTCTAGCTATGTCGATGCGACTATGAATTGAAATTACTAAAAATTTTAATACAATTGCAAATCATGATCATTGGTATATAGAAATCAATGATATAGCTAGTATGTATCGGAAATGGCAGTCTTTAATACTATACGAAAATAAAGCCATGTAGAATGAGCCTTCATTTCAAAGACAATGTTAGTCACACTGCGAGGTGTCTTTCTGGCTTAATTAACCATTCTCAGTATTTAATATGAACATATTCATAGCAAGTCCTTGAATTAGAGTTGAGAATTAGCTAGGATATTGGCCTCATATTAATAGAGTTACAATTACAATATAGGGATGCAACTACCTGAAAAATATAAAGAGAATTTCGACATTTTGAGGGAAGACGAAGGGTCTTCGCTC